TGGGCGGGGCAGGGAGCAGGGGGCTCAGAGGGGGGGGCAAGGGGGGTCAGGAGGCAGGGAGTGGGGCCAGGTGGGGTAAGGATTGGGGAGGCTTGGGAGGCAGGCAGGGAGTGGGGCAGGGATCTGGGGTGCTGGGGGAGCAGGTGGGGCTACCAGGAGTCCGCCCCATGGTTCCCTCCTCCAGTCCCACCCACCCCTTACGTATCGGCACTGGAGACCAGGTCCAGCTCCCTGTGGCCGGCATGCTGCCTGCCCTACACGGGCAGGCAGTGTGCTTCAGCACCAGGGCAAGGGCCAACCATAGAGATGCTCTGGCTGCTACCAGAGTGTCTTTGTGGAGGACCCAGCCTCCGGTTGCCTCTGGGCACAGTCCGGTACTGTGCCTTGCCCTGCTTTTTTTCTCTGCAGTTCTTTTTGACCCCTGGATATCCAGGGGTCTAATTTTGTCCCCATGCTGCAAATTTGCAGCGGGGGAACGTTTTCTCATTTCTGCACGTGCCTCTTGCAACATCTCAAAGGGGTTTGAGATGCTGCAAGACACACGTGCGCACTCGTCTGGATGCGCCCTTAGAGTTTTTTGAACTCTTCTGTTAAAGCTGTTTTAAAGAAAAATATGTTTCCAGTCTTAATTGTTTCTTAACAAGTTTTTTTGTTTGTTTGTCTGAATGTGTCAGATCCTTTCTGTCCTGACTGTGATTCCAAACCTTCTCTGCAATGTATCCAAAATGCAACTGGAAATAAAGTATCTTTTTCTCATTGTTCTGGCCAAGTAGCTAGTCAAAACCCTTCACGATATCTTGCTTCCTCATCAGCATCGGCCTGTCCTCCTGTTGTGGAACAAATGTAAACTCTGCCTAGTTATCTTCTTGATTCATTTGTTTCTCCTTCTCTGGGCTAGGGACCAAAATTGCACACAAACCGGTGTACATGATTGGAAACTGTTTCAAATCTGTAACACAACAGAAGTCCAGTGCACATAAACTGCTTCAAAATACCCCAGACCAGTTTAAGATAAACCTAGATGGATGTAGCACCAGACTTAGCTGATTTAGGGTAAATCAGTTTATTGAACTTGTGTCCTAGATCCCCTCCAGGTTCAAGTTAACTCACAGTCCGTCCTGCAGCATTCCAGGATGCTTTGCACCTTCCCCACAAACCCCGCTCATGGAGTGCATGGGCTAGCCTTGGCCCAAGCTGTCTGCTGTAGCTGAGCAGGGAAGCATGTTCTAGTGCCCCCCAGCTTCTGACCTGAGCCATGACAGGCATCTGGCTGCTTTTCCAGAAAAGTGAATTGTCTGTTCACTTGCTTATCCGCGAAAACTAACCTGTGAAGATTGAATTGATTCAGCCTCAGGTTTTTTGATTGTCTGTACTTAGCCCGGGTGTTCCCAGGGGCTGATTTACAGAGGGCACAAGAGCAACCTGTCACTGGAGCCAGCCCATTTGCCAGAACTGCTGGTGCTGGCCCAGATGCTGCTGCTGCTTCTGCTGCTCCTGTTGCTGTGGGTGCAGAACCTTGTTACACCTCTGATGCCTTCTGCTATTGAGGCCCCGGAAGTTTGATCTTTCTTATCTTGTCCTCCCATTAAATTCCCTTTTGTAGCTCAGTTCTTTCTCCAGATATGTTACATCTGTAAAGCCTTTCAGTGCTGACAAGGAAAGTAATTTTTTGCTTACTTGCTGTGCCATAAACCCACACAGACAAATAGCCGCAATTATCTAGGTTATAAAAATTAGGACCTAAAACTGTTCCATTAATGTAATGATGACTGTACCATATCTCATCCGTATTTGAATTTGCCATTTGTATCTTTTTAGAGTGTACTTTCTGCAATACATCTAAATGCACATACATGTAAGTGTGGACTAGTAATATTGTTTTGTTTCAATAGAAAGCTTATCGCAAAGATTTTGAAGAAATGCTCAAGGGAAAAGCAACATTGGATTTAGACAAGACTCCCGAATTTTTGCACATAAAACATGTCACCAATCTTCTCAAAGAGGTAGATCACTTGTTTTTTTTGTTCCTCGTTGTTATACTGTAAAAGGGAAATAAGCAGCCTACCCATGTATTTTTGATTCATAAACAAAATACCTTGGTAAATCCTGTCTAATTCAGTAAAATTAAGCTTTAATTAATAAACAATTATTTAATGTTTAGCTGAATACACAGGTATCTGTCCATTGAAAGTTATGCTAGGAAATATTGATGTATACCAAATAGTTACTGGCCAGTTACTGTATACCAAATAGTTACTGGTATACTGATGTATACCAAATAGTATCTGTTCATCAGTGAGTGATTGTGGATATTGCAGCTATTCTACTGACTGGTGGTGCATTTTCTTTGGTGGCTGTAGAGACAGATGTTAGACAAACAGGTCCTGCCACGGTGGTCATAGGTGTACATGTCATTAGGGGCTACTATACTGAGATGCTGCTTCCTTTGGTCATCTTTCTGTTGTAATTCAAATAACCATCTTTCATCGTGATGTTGGATTCCATGATTGAGAAAGGAGTGCCACTTTGTTGCCAAATAGTGTTCTTAACAGAATCAGCATTACCTATAGAGTCTTTAATGAACATACAGAAAGTAGAATGTCCACCAAACCTGAACCAAGAAATAGTTAAAATCAGATAGTATTGTGGAAATGGGGTTCTAGTATGTGTTCATTGTGAGAACATCAGATATCTGGAGCATGATTTTCAAATAATTTTATCCCCAAATTGCCAAAAATCATATACATATTTTAAAAAACATTATTAATTGTTTCTCAAGAAGTTAATTCAGGTATGCAACTCCAAATTTCTTGCATGGAGCTAACCATGCCTTAAGGAGACATGATGAAAAAGCTTTAAGTTGTTAAACACAAGCACTTTCTATTTCCTTATTAAAAAACGCACCTATACACTTGCCCGACTAACAGCAGCCTCAGCGCCATGTGTATTCAGCGTTCCTGCTTTTCAAAATGGTTGTGCTGGTACTTTAAATAAGGCTAGTTGAAGGAGCTTTAATTAAAGGAAGATTTTGAAAAGCAGGATGCTGAATACATTAGATGCTGCAGGCACTTAAATTAGAGCGGCTCCCAAGAACCACTCTAATTAAAGCAATCCTCCCTCACCCCCACCATGGAGTACGTGTAAAGATGCCCAATGTGTCAATTCAGTTACAATCTCCTGTTGTGGGTGTGTGGGCCGGGAGCGACCCGAGCCCTTTTCTGGGCTGCATGCGGGCTGTGGCCAGCAGCCCGGGCACGCTGGATCGGAGAGGGAGGGCGACGAGCTAGAATTAGGCACAAACGCTTAGCGGTAGTTTTAAAGATTGTTTACTTACACTGAGATGGTAGTGGTGTAGGCTGGAAAACTTGCTTGAGTTGCAGTTACAGACACAGACAACATGGACGGTCACGTGGAGTTTGCTAGGCTCCACGGAACAGAGCTCCGGATGCTCTGGGTGAACGCGCCACCAAAATCGAAATCGGAGATACGTCTTATAAAATTTGCGATCGAAGATGGGAAGAGGTGGGCGATGGATCAGGTCGCCAAGCTCCTCTGGATCTCACACAGGGTTTCTATTACCCTGCCGTGTATCCAGAGTCCCCACGAGATGGATGTGGAGTCCTCTTCGGCTTGGGCGGAAACTGCTCAAGCCTCTTATACGGCTAACAGGCCAATCGTTAGCCGCCACGTGTGAATAATTTAAAACTAGCCAATAGCGGGGAACGAATTTGCATACCGGTGGCAGGAACTCTTTTGCACCGTGCATTCCTCTTGCAACTTGAGCAATGCACTCTGCAAAAGAAGCTGCAGAAAGGCGGGAAACTCGTCCCTGCACCGGGGTTTTCCTCTGCAACAGGAAACTCTCCCGTGCAATGAAGTTGCAACTTGTCGGGGATAATTCTGGTGCCGAAGCACACACAAAATCATGCCTTTGGGTCATGACAGTGGGGAGTATGGGGAGGATTCAGAAGAGATGACACCTTCTGTACTTGTGAGATCCACTTCCTTTAGGACCTGTGCATAACTTTCTCAGGAGAGTGAGAGTTCAATTGTTCCCCAAATGAACAGAAGAATCTCCCTGATTATGACAGCTAATTCTTGTAGTTTATTGATCGTAAAGGACTTGTTAAAGAAACAATGGCTGAATTCCCTTTTGTTTATATTGAAGAGCTTACAAAAGGACAAAGGACCTTGGTAAATACAGTGCAATTTAGTAAAATAAAGCTTTAATTCATTTACTCAAGAATTCTTTTAAAATATATTTGCTTAAAATCTCAGCTTGTCATTAGCTCTTCAATGTGCCTTGAAAAATGTGGTGAGGGAATTGGCCGATGTGATTGCATTGCTGCTGGCCATTATCTTTGAAAACTTGTGGCGATTGGGAAAGATCTCGGATGATTGGAAGAAGGAAAATCTAGTGCCCATCTTTAAGAAAGGGAAAAAGGAGGATCCAGGGAATTACCAATGGATAAGCTTCATCTCAGCCCTTGGAAAAATCATGGAACAGGTCCTCAAAGAATCCATTTCCAATCACTTAGAGGAAGAGAATGTGATTAGGAGAAGAAACTCCTCCCTTGATCTGCTGGCAACATAGATTCACCCAGGGCAGGTCAGCATGGATGTTTTACCTTTGTGAGTTTTTATCATCTCTCCAAGAATATGGAAAAGAATGGTGACCAGTCCACAGGCAGCCTCTACTGTGATTTTAATTTTTCATAGAACACCTGTATACCATGGAGACAAAATACTGATAGTATTATTTTATGATAGCATGTTAAAAGAATGGAAGGAGATGGTAGGAAAGTTGTTACTGTATCGTAATTTAACTACTAATCATTTTACTAGCTCTTACTGTAATATTTGGGGCATGTTTAGGGCATAGCCATTCTATCTGTGAAGCCATTAGTAAAATGGGGATGAATATGAGGCCTACCAGCCTTCAACTATAAAAGCTGCTATTCACAGGAAAACCTACAACGCAAAAGCTTTTGCAATTAATATAACTGAAGATCTCTAATGTGAGCTCCCTAAACAAATGATGTAGTATGTAAAGGTGGAATATTTTTGAAGAGCCCAACAGCTGCATACAAAGCTAAATTTAAAACTTTTTGCTGCTTTATACTTTTTGATTTGATAATTTCCAATTCTCTTTTAATTCTGAAAAATATTCTTCAGCTAATTCATATTTCATAGCAATTTTCAGAAAAAATGATCAAATAGTAAGAGGCATGTTGCACACAATTTAAAGTGGAGGATTTTTTTTTATCCTTAGAAAGAGTATAGAAAAGATTTTGAAGAAGGGATTAAAGGAAAAGGACTGACTGTGTTTGAAGATACGCCAGATTTGATTAGAGTGAAAAATGCAGCCCAGATCCTAAATGAGGTATGTTATGGTAGTGAAGGTTATTGATGGCATAGAAAGTTCATGTTTTACAGTGCACCCTATTGAAAAATATTCTAATTTGTCTCATAATTGAAAATGAAGTATTCTCTTTTGAAGCTGATGCCCACCTGGATTTTGCAGAAAGAGTATAGAAAAGATTTGGAAAATAAAGGGGAAAGAATTATACTTATTCCAGCTATTCAGCAAACATGTTAAATTGTTCACGAGGTCAGTAGATAAAAAATTGCCCCTGGGCAGGAAAACCTGACTTTGAGGTGACTTTGTTGTATTACATTCAGGGGGCTATGCACATGTGCATGTCCCTATTGTGTTCTATTTGTGTAACACTACAAAATGCCTCAGGAGCTGAGACAGTGCAGCCTGGTCATTCATCAGGCTTTAGTTTGGCTTTTGGTTCAGGAAAGATCATTTGGTTAGTTTGGTTCAGGAAAGATCATTTAAATTAAATAATTTAAATTTCTTACTCCAATAGTTCATTGGAAACAACTCTGTGCCTTTTTAGATTTTTTTTTTTAATTTTTTTTTTTTCTTAAAAGTAAATGGTGTTTAAACTGGATAAACCCTGCTGGGCACTAAGCAGAACTTGTTACTGTGTGTTCTAGAGAGTTGAACAAAAACTTTAGAAGGCAGAGACAGCTACCTTTAAGACTGCATTTCTTTCAGACCTCAGTTTATACATTCATGTTTTCAGTAGTTCATTGCAAACTATCACTTGTATCTGCAAAACTTGAGACCTGGTTTAAAAATGTGGGCAAAAACTATTAATTGAAATTATTTGAAATACTACCTTCACAGAAAGAATACAAAAAAGATCTAGAGACTGAAATTAAAGGCAAGGGCATGCAAGTGGGCACAGATACTCCTGAAATACAACGTGTCAAGAAAGCTTCTGAAATTGCAAGCCAGGTTAGTACAGTTGTTTTTAATTAGTGCCAGCTTTTAAGTGAACTGAGGACTTGTTATCAAAACCATGAAGTAACACACAAAATGTATTAGGCTAGGGACAGAGGTTAAGCATACACTGGTTTAAATGATCAGAAACTGGTTTAAACCTGTAACAGAACATACATTCAGTGGATATAAACCAGCTTCAAAATGGCCAAAACTAGTTTAAGATAAACCTGGTTAAATATAGTATCAGACTTAACTGATTTGGGTCAAACCAGTTTATGCAACTTCTGTCCCAGACCCCTTCCTGGTTTAAGTTAAATCAGAGTCCCCCAGCATCTTGACATGCTTCTCTGCTCTGACAGAGCAGGGCTGGCCCCACCCCCAGCTGCCAGCAGGGACTTTCCCATCCCCAGCAGCCAGAAATGGGGCAGATTCCCTTGCCTCACCCCCCTCCTCTGAGGCAGGCAAATAAAGCCCCCACTGCTGGTTTTCCCCCCTCTGCCAGCATGGGTGCATGTTTCTCCCCCTCCCTCCACTTCCTCCTTAGCTGCCCCACACCTGCTGGGCTGTGGACCGCACTCACTGGGGAGCACCACACTGCAGGACAGTCTGAGTCAGGGGAAGTGCAGCCTGGGATGTGAGCCCCCTCCCACCTCCAGTGTCAGCCCTGCTGCATCCCTACCACAGCTTGGTGAGTGGGGTGGGCCAGGAGCTGCAGAGGCTGTGCTAGGCTGGGCTGATGAGCAGTGGGGGCTGGCTCTGGCCATGCTGGGGGGAGGACTTGCCTGACAACCACAGGGAGCTCAGGGCAGTCCCGGCTCCCCAGCAGGGGCAAGGATGAGGTGCTGGGCAGCCCCGATGATCTGACCTCCCAAGGGTGACTCCAGCAAAGTGGTGGCACTAGGGGCCATGCCGGTCCTGGGATGTTGCTCCACTGGTCCTGGGATGTAGCCGTGGTCTGCAGTAGGCATGGAAGAGGGATGGGGAGGAGGCTGCTGTTTTTCCTCCCCACTCCCTTCTCAGCTGGCCTGCAGGCCAGGGAGAACATGTCACAGGGTGATCCTCCTGTCTCCCAGCTGCAGGGAAGCTCGTAGTCCCCATCTGAAGTGGGAGCCTGGGTGATCATCTGGCCATGCCCCCTCCCTGGCTGGTAGGCCAGCTGAGGAAGGAGTGTGTGGGGGAGGGAGGGAATGACCCTGCTGAGGGCTTCCCCCTGCCTGTGCTGGGCACAGCCTGGCTGGGGTCCAAAGCCAGACCGTGGAGGGGAGTGGGCAGGCATTTCCCTCCCACTTTCTCCTCAGCTGGCCTCCTGGCCGAGCAGGTGGCATGGCCGGGTGATTCGCCTGGCTCAGGTAGGAGAATAAAGCCCCCAGTGCAGGCTTCTCTGCAGCTGGTAGCTGGGCCAATCACCTGGCCAGGCTCCCGGATCCTCTGGAAGGACAGCTGAGAAGGGAGTGTGGATGGGGGAAACAGCCCCTCCCCAGCTTTGGACCGCAGCCAGGTTGTGCCTGGCACAGGGCGTGGGAAGCCCTCAGTGAGGGCCATTCCCCCCCCTCCCCCCCAACTCTCTCCTCAGTTGGCTGCCAGCCGAGCAGGACATGCAGCTGGGTGATCAGCCCGGTTCCCAGCTGCAGGAAAGCCTGTAGTGGAGGCTTTACCCCCCTTCCTGAGCCAGGAGCTGGGGGTGATCACTTGGCCATGCCCCCTCCCCAGCTGGCAGGCTGGCTGAGGAGGGCATAGGGGGAAAGTGCCCCCCAGCCAGACTCTGCCCAGCACAGGGGTAGGAAGCCCTCAGTGGGGGCCGTTTCCCCGCCACTGCGACTCCCTCCTCAACTGGGGGTGGGGGCTGCACTGTGGGCAGGAGTGGAGTGATAAGAGCTGCTGCAGGCTGCGCAAGGTGAGCAGCGGGACTGGGACTCAAAGGGGTGACCATAGCCCCCCAACCTCCCCCCCCAGTACACCACTGCCACTTGCTCAGCGCAGCCTGCGCTACCCACCCTGCTCCCACTCTCAGCAGAGCTCCCACTCTAGGAAGAGGATTGTACTCCCTGGGAAACCATAAGAGGGGCTGCTGCCCCCATCACGGTTGCTCCCCCCTCGTTGCTCCAATGGCAGGGGCAGGAGCGTTGCCAGAGGCTAGCCATCATGGCTCCCTTAAGCATTGGGGCAGGGAGGGGGGTTATTTTCCCTCTCCCTCCGGCATCTGTCAGAGGCGGCAGGGAGGGAGCTAATCCCACGCTTGTCCCGGTCTGGGAGTAATCGGTGTCAGCAGTCAGGGCTGGCAGACCCCAGATGTGTCCCCCATGGGCAGAGGAGGTGAAGGGGGAATAAACCCCATCCCTGCCTCCTCTGCCTCAGGGGCCCATGTCAGCTGGCACTTGGTTGCGCGCTGCCCCTGCCGCTGCAGCAGTGAGGGGGGAGTGCTAAGCGGACCCTAGCTTGGGTCTGTGCCTGTGGGACAATGAGGAGGGAATTAAACCCTCCTCTCTAGCTAGTTTGCTTGAGGCTACTGCTGGTGCCTGGCCACGCCCTTCCAGCACAGCTTCCCTGCAGCCAAGGGCACCTCTAGCACCCCCGGCTTTTGGCCTGAGCCACTGCAGACATGTCTATTCACTTGCAAATTGGTTCAATTTAGGTAGGTTAGACTAACCTGCAAAAATTGAATCAATTCAGGTTCTGGCTTTTTGATTGTCTGTACCTAGCCCTGGTGTCACAACATATGTGATTTGCAGCTGTTTGGAGTCATATTTGACCTATTCCAATTCTAGGGAAAAAGTAAGACTTCCCAGTGCTATTCTTCCCTCAGTTTTCGTTGGTAAGTAGCATTACTTACATTTTCTGAATCATAATGAATAGCTGTTGGTGCTACCCTGACTTGTTTTGGGGTCTTAGCATAAAATGTTCCTTGTTTGAAGAGAAATAGCTGATAAGCATGTTCACAGTGAGGGAAAATCCTCAAGGCCTTCCAGGTTTGATTTTGCAAGGCCTGGAGGAAGAGATTCACATCAATGATAGCCTCCAATCAGGACTGTGAAAATGGGAAAGGCCACTGAGATGAATGTAAAGTAACCTGTTTTTTAAAAGGTTGTTTTAAGCCTGAAACATAGTGTAAATGAACTGTTGGTAAATCCCACAAAGCTATTCTACCAATATAAAAGCCATTTGGTTTTATAGGGATGCTATTCAGTGAAGGCAATCAGATTAAAGTGGGATCTATTTATTGCCTTAGCTGTTGTTCATTTAAGTGTTGCCCATGCTATTCTTCACAGAAGGAATACAAGAAAGATCTAGAGACTGAAATTAAAGGAAAGGGAATGCAAGTGGGCATGGATACCCCTGAAATACAACGAGCTAAAAACGCTTCTGAAATTGCAAGCCAGGTATGTACAGAATAATGTTTATAGACTACATTTCAGGAAAAACACAATGAGCCTTTTAAAAATATATGGAAATATTCTTCTAGTGTGTTGATGGTAATAAGAACAACTTGTGATAAAAGCAGATTGCCCTGTCTCAGTTGCTGTTGGAGTCCAGTCTTACAAGGATGTCTTTGAAGATGGCACACACCAATTACCATAGGCTTAAGTGTACAATACATCTGCAGATTATAACATCCTTTTTTGCAGAAAGTATACAAGAAAGACTTGGAGACTGAAATTAAAGGGAAGGGGATGCAAGTTGACACAGATACCCCTGAGATACAGCGGGTCAAAAGAGCTTCTGAAATAATAAGCCAGGTGGGTACAGAATGAAGGTTAAGTGTTTTAATATCTCCTAATGATGTGTTCTGGGAACATATTATTCAGAATGCATTGCTTTGCCTTTTGTTAATTAGAGGCCTGTATACCAATAATAAATAAATTAACATATGGAAGCTACTTGTGGAACTAATGTTTTAAGCATTTGATTCTCATTTAAATTAAGGACTCTTTTTACCACTGTGTCAGTGGCCTTTAATTGGGTGTAAATTTTGTTTACATCCATTTTAGCACCTTTTTACATGGCCAGAGTGGACATATTTTAAACAATCTCAGCCAAGAGAAAATATGGGATACACATTTTTTAAATTATACTTTTCAGAAAATGTACAAAGATGAAGCAGGGAAGATGCTCTGTAATTACTCTGCTGTACCAGATACTCCAGAAATTGAAAGGATTAAGAATACTCAGAGAAACATTAGTTCGGTGAGTAGCAGCAGTTCTGCTTTTAGATGTGACTTTTCAGATATTTTCAAGTATGAAATGGCTTCTCTGGTGTCCTGGCATGGAGTGTGGATATTTGAGTAATTGTCAATTAACTATTTGCATAATTTTCCTGGAAAAGACTACAATATCACTAATTCTTTCAGAAAAAAGGCCCATCTTTGTTAGGCTTGATACTGCTGCTTTAAATTGTGAAACCACTTAATCTAGTCTTGCCAAGCCCCAGCCACTTTGAACTGAATTTTTTTTTTAATCCGTCTCCCCAGAGCACTTTATTATATTCTAGGTACATGTACACATGTGCTTTACTGTGGAGTTTGACTAATTAGCTCCGCAGTGGTGGTTTGTTCTTCAGATTCAAAGATGACTATGACATCATTGGTTGGTTTGGTCTCTGTGAGCACGTGAGTGACTGCTCAGGCCAATTTGTGTTTTGAACTGTCCGTGGCATGCTGAGCAAGGGATGCCACTTTGGGTTGCTTGAAGAACAGTGGACATGCTGCTGTTGCAAGACTTATTCTGTTTGCACTTCTGCTTCTTTTCAGCAGTTCTTCTCCACTCATAGACAGTAGCTCTAGTATGGATGAGGCTTCACCAGGTGGAACAATCATGAGTGAGATCTTCCCAAGGCTTTGGGTCAATGTTAAAACATTTCAAGGATGACTTCGGGGAGTCCTTGAAACATTGCTTCTGGCCTCCCTGAAAGCACTTTCTCTCCTTTAGCTCATCATAGATTTTCTTTGCCAGTCACTCATCTGACATCTGGGTGACCATCTCACCTGTGATTTCATCAACAGAGTGTGGATGCTTGGAATGTCTGCCTTTGTGAGAACCTCAGTGTCTGCAACTTTGTCTTGCCATCTTATCCTCATAGTTTCCTCAGACAGCTCATGTGAAAGTGGGTTTCATATCATGGTGTCTGTATACCATCCAGGTTTTGCATGCATACATCAGGATTGGCAACACAATGGCTTTGTTGACTTTCAGTTTTGTTTGTTGACTGATGCCTCTGCGCCTCCCACGCATTTGCACATAATTTGCCAAAGGCCATGCTTGCTTTAGACAATTCTGGCATTGGTGCCACCATCAATGTGAACTGCACAAGACAGTGTACTGCCGACATAGGTGAACATGTCCACTACCGGCAGCGTTTGGCCATTCTCTGTGATTGTAGGCTCTATGTAAGGCTTTTCTGGTGCAGGTTGGTGCATTCCTTCTGTTGTCTTAGTGTTGTTTGTGAGACTAAAGTTTGCACAAGCTCTAGAGAAATGGTCCATACTCCGCTGCATGTCAGATGCAGATTTGGCATTCAGGGAACAGTCATCAGCAAATGGAAGATCATGAAAATCATCAGCAAACAGAAGATCACAAAATGTTCATGATCTTCTGAGCGCTGCAGTAAAGTGTCACTGTCTACACATTCACTGGTATTAGGGCACAATAAACCAATTAACTCCACTGCAGGATAGTACTATTGGGGAAAATGCTATCTTACGATGGAGTAAGTAACTGTGCTGAAACATGTGTGTAGATGGTGACAGGGCCTGGCTGGGGCACAAGGGTGCTAAAGTGTGAGGGCTGCCTGCTGCCTAGCCACATGGTTCAGCACTCTCAGCACCCTTGTGCCCCATCCAGCCCCTCTGCCACCCGATGCTGCCACCTGGAGCCCAGGGCTAACCCTTTGTGCCCTCTGCTGCTCTGCCGTGGCTCAAATTGCTGCTGTCCTGGGTGCATGTGTTGATGTTTTACCCAGGAGCAGTTTCCTCCAGCTCAGATGACTTCAGAGTTTGTGTCGTGTTAATTGCATGTGTAGATGCACTTGCTCTGTATAAAAAGGAGCAGACACTGAGGGTTGTACTATGGTAAATATATGGTTTATAGTATGATTGTAGCATAGAATTAAAATGAAACTATTTATAGCATACTTTGACTTAAAGTATATCATGCCAATGGTTTTATGCTACATTGGGCATTGAATGTTTTTTCACCTTTTATACTAGATTTAAGTTTCAGTATGTCACTGAATAAAAACCATATACAAATGCGTTTAAATGCTCTATTTTGTTATCTTTATATTTAATCTTTTTCATTTTTTCATGTTGATTAATTTTTCTGAATGTAGCACTTTGTGTACCTTTAATAGAGATTTTCCGAGAAGTAAAGATGATTAGTGAAAACCTAGTTTTATGTACCAATAGATTACCAGTAAGGAATCAGCTGCAAAGCTTGTATGATCTTTGCCACTTCTTCAGGGTCTGAAACCTCCTGAAGAATTCCCCAGTTATCAGGGCCAGTTTAAGCTTTCTGTACCATAGCTTTGAAAAATGTCCTTATATATTTACCTAATATAGCCACAAAAAGAAAAACATTTTATTTTGAGGCAAGAGCTCTGGCCTCCATCCTTTTCCTCTAATTGTGTGAAATCAGTCCATAGTTGAGAGTAATGATGATTATGCTACCAGTTCATTTCCTCTACACTCCAACCTTTTAATACTATATGTAAATTGGGTTAATAAAGATAATTATTAAGCAGTCTAGTGCTTAATAGCTAGAAGAGTTACAGGCAGCAATCACAACAGAGATAAATTGAGAGACGGATTGACTCTCCTTTTATATATTCCTCTTTTTGTTCTGATACTTAGACATTGTTAGGGTTGAAAATGTGAGGTTCCTTCTATAGGTTAAGGGGACAAACAAGCAGCTAGCTCTTCAGATAAAATCAATGCTGTTTTTAGCTTGCCAGCTGGGAATGCTGTTGTAGTGTAACTGGCTCTAAGCCTTGTGTTGAGCATTTTGTAGTAGGCTCATAACTGCACAGTCATCTCTTCTGTAGTAAACTCCCTAATCCAATATGTTTTGTACTCCTTGATGAAGAAAGGAAATATGTTTTAGTTTAGGTCAGGATGTAACATTTTATAGGAAATAACTCATTTTAACAAATGTGTACAAAACACTTCTAAAATTCAAAATGCCATATATTTAAAGATACTGTTACATTAAAAACAACCTGTATATTTAAATGATTCACCCACATCAGGATTATGTAGTATTGGCCACCCTATCTCAAGAAGAAGCACAATGTCTACATTGTGGCAGTGCTGTATCCCAAATATTTCTGAGCCTGCCCCACCCATCTGCAGTCAGGATCATGTTCTAAACCCAGAAATATACCAGGGAAAACACTCCTGGCTGTCCCTCTGTACCTGCTATTGAGTCTCAAATGTGCTTGAGGTGCCATTTGGAATGACCTCATTGAAGCCTCAGCAGCACATTTCCAAGTTTGGGCCACACAAGTGAAGTATGTTCAGAGCTGGCTAGGGCACATGACTATCACAGTGTAGATGTCCCTTTGGAGTTCAAAAATGAACACTAAGAGTGATTATGGGCAAGTAAAAACTCTTACATTGAGGGTGAGGTTTTTGCCTTGGAGAACAGCTGACTAAGAGGGAGTATGACAAAGGTAAGCCAGGAGCCCCTGAGCTCACTCTCTTCCAAAAATCAAGAGCAAGGGGTCAGTCCCTGAAACTAATGGTAAATTCAAAACTAACAGAAAGAAAAACTTTCCACAACAGGCATGTAGAGGCTGAGGAATTCATTTCCACATGATGTTTTGAAGCCCAGAGTTTAGCAATAAGAATAACAAGAAATCCATAGATGTTTTAAGTAATTCTAAAATAACAGTTTTGGAAAGCATGTAAAAACTTGATGCCACACCCTTATTTTTAGGAGTTATATTTTGATCTTCAATGTGGGAAGATACGGGCAGCTTATCTCATGTTTACCTGTGATGGTGTGATCTATACCTTCCTCTGAAACATCTGGTATTGGTCACTGTCAGAAACAGGATACTGACAGATCAAGGGCCTCTGATGAATTTCTTTTTTTTCTTGAAAAGTTTAACAGGTTGTCTTTCAGTTTCAAATGCGTACGTCATTGTTTATGCTTATCGTAGGCACCGAGTATGTGGGGGCCCGAGAGTTTTGCCCCCGCCTTGGGAAGAGGGTAGGGTGACTACCTGTCCCTAATTGGGCAGGACAGTCCCAAAATGGGAACATCAGGTCATGGTCCTGTGCTGCATGACTCTGAAACAGCATTTTTCCTGGATTTCCAGTATCATGAAGGGATCTGTGTTTTCCGTTCATCATGGAAAAATGCAAGAAATGACAGAGTTCCTTCCTCTTGTAGGATGGCAGAATTCCAGCCTGTAAAGGGCTGTGGGGAGTGGGATGCAGGGGGTATGACGTATATATGTGCACAAACACATACATGTGGCCAGGAATACAGCCCCAGGCAATGGAGAAAAGCAGCTCCCCCAGCTGTCTGCAAGTAAGTCTAAAGGGGGGGGGCGGGGAGGGGATAGATTGAAGCCCCCATGGTGAGGGAGGGAGTGGGGCAGGGGCTGGGCTTGGGGGTGCTGTCCAGCCAAGGTGGTACATGGGGCCTGGGGCCAGAGTGGGAGGTAAGACAATGCCACGGGCAACTCATCTAGGAGGTAGGGGAGGCCGGCTCCCTGCTGCTGTGTTCACTCCTCACACATTTGGGTGCAGGGTGGGGGTGGATGTGGCGTGCCTGCTGTGGCCTTAGGACTCCCCACCCTGCTGTCCTCCCCCAGAAGCCCCAAGCTAGCCATGTTGCCATGGTGTGAAACCCCCTGCCCTCCCAGCAGCAGTGGGTGTGGCAGCAGCTCTGGCCCAGTGTTTGCCCACTGGTGCTGCTGGGTGGGCAGGGTGTGCCTTGCTGTGGCAATGCAGCAGCCTACATCCACTTAGCTCTGTTCAAGTTCAAGCTATGCTGCCAGGCGGGGTAGGGCGGAGGAAGTTGGGCATGTGTCCCGCCTTTCCATTTTGAAAAGATGGTCACCCTAGAAGAGAGCTGTCACATGTCCATCATCTTAGGCTCACCCATCCCCCAGCAAAAATGAGTCAGTGCCTATGATGTTTATTAACCAAAACCAGAGTTAATACATTTTAATTTAGGCGAGACTGACAAACTTAATTCTATGAAATTATGAGTCAGACTTGGTATTTAATTATATACCTAAAACACTAGATGGAATGGCAACATTATTGGCATAGAACATTAACATTCTGGACATTTTTTTTCAAATAAAACTTCCTTAAAATATGCAATCTATGGTCCTGCCTCACGAATATTCATATTATTGCAGCTTTGGAACTTTGTTGAATAATTGTGTTGAATAATACTTCAGTAGTTTGAGTTACAGGTGTATTGATACAACTTATGTTTTGTCCTTATTGAAGTTCTTGAAACATAGAAAGATATTACAAATAACACATGCAACTTTGCAGACGACAACTCTGCCTTTTTTGTAACATAGGATGTCCATTATTGGATGGTTTTCAGAGCAGGTTAGATAAATATTGATCAGGAATGGTTTAAGTATTCTGTTTTCCCTTCAGAAGGATTGGCTAGATGGTTTGTTAAGGTCCCTGTTATCCTTATTTTTTTATCATTGAATTCTGTGGCCAGAATGTGGGACTGGGAGTCAAGTAATTTGAATTCTAACTCTGACTCTGCCAATCATTTAATAAATATTTTAACAGTTATTAAATAATAATTTTTTCCTAATTGGAAAATAGTAGTATTTGTTCATCTTTTCCAGTGTGCTTAGGGATCTAGGAATGAAAAAGCAGTATAGGCCTTTGATCTTACATATGTTTATATATATTGTGCGGGCCCTCTCCCGATCCCATCCTTGTCGCCATGTGCGGGCGGCGGGGAGCGATCCGGGCCCTTTTTCACTCCGCGCGGGCTGTGGCCAGCAGCCCGGGCATGCTGGATCGGAGAGAACAGGCGACACTCTGGAATTAGGCACGGACGCGTAATGGTTGATTCAAGATTGTTTACTTGCACCGAAGATGGTCGCGGTGTAGGCTGGACAGTTTCCCAGGCACAGCTCCGCTTAAACCCTCGTTTGAGGACTCAGACAATATTCGATCACTCCCACGGAGTTGTCGAGGCTCCGTGGATCCTTTTGAAGAGCTCTAAATAGACTCACATGAAGTTTGCTAGGCTTCGTGGAACGAAAGCGCGCAGGGAAGGGATACGTCGAGGATTGCGAACAGCGACGGGGAGAGGCTAGAGGCTGATCAGACCCCTGTTGCCTGCTTAAAATGCGCTGGGTTCGATAGGCTCCGCTGCGCTTAGAGATCTTCACACAGCGTGAAGTCTCCTCCTCCTGGTGTTCGTGGAGTCCTCCCTTGCGGGGGTTCTCCTCGGAGTTCTCCAACTTGGGCGGAAACCACCCAAGCCTTTTATACGGCTAGCAAGCCAATCACTAGCCGCCACGTGTGAATAATTTAACACAAGCCAATAATGGGGCTCGAATTAGAATACGAATGGCGGGAACTCTTTGCAACGAGCATCTCTGTACTGCAAAGAAGAAATGCACACTGCAAAGAAAGCTACAATTTGGCGGGAAAATAATTCAGTGGTGCCAAAGCACACAAAAAAACAAAAATCACACCCTTTGGGTTGTGACATATACAAGTAATCACATTGAAGTCAAGGAAGTTGCCTGAGCCTAAAGTTACATATATAGACATTTATAAGTTCTGGTGAGAAACATTATTATTATTCTTATATTTATAATTGTTATCATCATTGTTGTTGCTGCTGCTGCTATTGTTAAATAAACCTGCAAGAAGTTTATATCACTCTAGAGGTTGATGACAGACTACCTGGGATACTGTGGATGTGTAAAAGTATTTAGAAAGCAGGTGAACTTTTAATAATTATGATTGAGCTGATTTATGAAAAATTTAAAATACTAACTTTGCTAATCAGACTTGCAGTCAGACCAATTTAGAAGTTGGAGAATTGTGCGACTGTCTTTGTGAGACTCGGTGCTTGCATTCCTAACAGAATCATAATTATTATTTCTTTTTGTATGGTGAAGCTGTTTTATAAGGAGGAAGTAGGTGCTGGAACTGCAGTAAAAGAGACTCCCGAGATTGAACGAGTAAAGAAAAATCAGCAGAATATTAGTTCAGTAAGTGTTAGCAACATTTATTATTCTCCCCTAGATTAAACAGTGGTACAATATTTTTTTTTCTTCTGTTCGTTTGTTTTTTAGAAATACTACTTTTCACATCCCTCATCCTATTTAAATAGTGCTCCATCAAAGTCCCAAGTTTAATTATTTTTATTTGTAATTGGGCTCCTCTGATTCCACAACAAATGTTTTATTTTCATGTTATCATAAAAGGAAAATAAATCTTTATTTACTATAAAATATATATTGGTGGATTTAATCTTTCAAAAAAGAATCTTAATCATACTTTATAACACTGAGTCATAATGAATTGCAGCTACAGTCTGTAACTTAAAAAAATATAATGGAATAACTAGAGGGTTTGTGACAAATTGAACTGTGGAGCTAATAAGATTTGTCCCTTACATTATGTTGTTTAGCTATGGTTGCCTGAGAAAATTATAAACATCCTAACCACTAGGGCTGTGTGAACCTTCGGTCCCTGGTTCAATTCGGCAGAGATTTGGCCCAATTCGGTGGCTGAATCTCCGAATCTGAATTGAATCAGACGACCTTTTTAATCTCTCCAAATAGAATTGGAGCCTTCGAATCGATTCGGAAAGATTCAGCAATTCAGACATTGATCCAGCTTTAAATGTTTTTTCTACATACCTCTAGGTAGCAGGTGATTCGTGAATGCTGTGATGGTGGGGTGCATGCAGTATCCCACAGAAGTGCAGGGGGTTCCCCAGTGCACTTGGTACCAGACCTGGAAGTGGACCAGAAGCACTTCTGGTCCACTTCCAAGTCCGCTGGAGAGTGTGCTGGGGGGCCCCCTTGTGCCCCCTGGCTCGGTGACTGGTGCCTCCTGGGTCTGGTGGTTACCCAGGGACCCACATGGCCAGTCACCGAGCCAGGGGAGCGGGGGGGGCAGAGCTCGCGGGCGACCGACGGGGCGGGAGGGGGGAGCGGGGGGGGCAGAGCTGTGTGTATGTCCAAATTGCTGATTCTCCGAATCAGCATTGAATCTTCAGATCTGGATTCGGCCATATCGAATGGGGACAGTGATCCGAATGAATGAATTGAATCACTGTCCCTGATTTGAGCTGAATCCAAATTGAATAGGCCTTATTTCGCACACCCCTACTAACCACTAATTGAGAATGAAATACCAAAATAAAAGCTTCATAAAAGCTGAATGTGCTCTTACGATA